CCCCAAAACCCCAAAACCCCAAAACCCCTAAATGTAATAAATGAATGAATCTTTAAGGTGAAGTATAATTTTAAATATTTAATCAGAAATGAACTAACATCCTCAGTAAGCTGAGAATTAGCAGATCTATCAGAACGCAGTCCTTGAACTACCCGAGTTCGAACAGCTATGCAATATCCTTTATGGTTCTTAGTCCAATCATGATGTAATTTCATATAGAATTCCTTTCTTATTTATCCTATCTAGGCTAAGTAACAGGCTGATTTGAAGTTGAAAAGTTTTACCGAGAGTATTGAGAGCATACCTAGACTAAAGCACTTTTTGGAAGTCTCAAATAATGAATTCTCCTAGTATTTATCAGCTAGTGCCCTTAAAAATCTGCTTGGAGATAACTGGCTAAAGATCCCCCTTGAAGAAAAAGTTGCAATTAAGGAGTATCTATTGAATTTCCTCGCCAATAAAGCTCTCAAGTGCAACAGATAAGTTATGAAGATGATGATAATCTTGCTCGCTAAAATATCTAAGCTGTCATGGTTCGATCATCCTGAACTCTAAAACGTAGTGCAAGAAATAAATATTCTACTAAATGTAATGAATCGCACATATGATTATTTATATAGATGAGTCCAGAGCACATTTTGATTGGACTTCTCACGATTGATCAGATGGTGTTGGAGATGACATACATAAATAAAGGAAAGAACTTAACTATCAATCGCAGAGTTTCATTAAACTTTAGAGATAGCGCACTTTTCTAGATTTTCAAGCAGGCTTTGGTTCTCAATAAACAGTTAATTGAATAAATTCAAACATAGACTGATTAGAATTAGTAGGTCAATGGTGTACTTGCAGAATGTCTCAAAACTAATCTTGAGATCTGCCATAAGTGTCTGATATTTGATTACACTAGTGTGCTATTGAACGAAACACTGGACGAGCCAACAAACACAAACGTAACAATATTAATCAATTTAATTATATAATTCTTATTCATTCTGATAGGTTCCTAATTCTTGGAGAGAATTCATTGAAACTAAGCAAAATGTTGATGTGATGTTCTACATCCTAAAAGCAAACATTCCTTCTCCCTTCTGTAGTGCGATTAAATCAGCTGCTTCCATGTGCCTTGCTGAATACGCAAACATTAGACAGTCAATATTTGAGAAGACAGAAAGCAGAATAGAATATGTTTAAAACTTTGTAAACAATCTCATTCACTTGTTTTAATCTCCAGCCAAACATTTCTACATCCTCAAGGACAGACTTATATTCAAGGAATTCGTTAAGATACCGCACAAATTTGAAGTATGTTTTATGCACATGTAAATTATTAACAGATAAACTTCTAAATCAGAGATTTAACCAAGATTGGAGACGCCATTCTAGAGGGCTACTTGCAGGAGCTGTTCAATTTCACTATTGAAAGCTATAAGACTCCCTCTGCTTCAGTCAAATTCCACTCATCTGTATTGAACCAAGTGTGGTAAAGGATACTCTAAGAGAGTATGCAAATGAACATCTCCTCACAAAACAAGATAGAGGAAATTATAGACTAGATCATAGCTATATTCCTTGAGGAGAACTTAAAACAAGAGGGCATGGCTGGCAACACAAATGTTGATGAGGATGAGGAGGATGAAGATGAGAATTTCGATAAGAAAGAGAAGACAATAAAGAATGATAATCTTGATTTCTTTTCAAGACTAATGAAGTAAAAAATTGATACTTCACTAAATCTTATGATCAACTACTACAACTAAATTATCCAACAATACTAGGTAACAATCAAACTTATTAATAAATACAATAGAATGCATTAGGGCAAAATCAAAAGAACTTTATTAAGTCATGTGAAAGGCAACTGGGTTATCTAGTCAAAGTAACCAATTCATTGTTTAGTTATGGAATGCCCTCCGCGAACTCGAGAGTATCACTCTTGGCAAAGCAGAATCAAAATGATATGAATGCAGATTCAGCAACACCGACTGAAATCAAATACCCAGACTTTGTTGTCTGCTCGAGAGTATTATATATCAGTAGACTTACTAATCAATTGATGAATGTAAAATTAATTAGAATAATACTGGTCATAGCAAAATAATCAAAGAAAGGTATACCCAGCTCTTGAGACAAGCCTGCTTTAATTCGGAATCACTTACAAAGCATAAGTCTTAGGCGACCCAAGGATGCTTCTTATTGGAATATAACATAATCCTACCACAGATAGTGATGACTTTTATGAAAAGATGGAAAATGATTCCTCAAGATCCTTCAACTCAATTGCTTAAATGATGGACTAGACAGACATGATGGCTATTATGGATATCTTCGCTGAGAAGATTCTGCAGAATCTCATTTATACCGATGGAAACACAGACGAAGGGAAGGAGATAATAGGATTCACTTTAGATTTCTTCGATGTTTTTGTATCCTCTCCATCTAGTTGCAGATTACTCAGCAAGTCAAGCATAATCAAACAGCTCATTCAAAATCACGTCGTAAGTTAACTAGATCTAATATAATCCAATGTAGATGCAATTCAATGTCTTGTAAAACGACCCCAACCAAAAGCATATTGGTTAGTTCTTTAAAATTCTCTCAATTCTCTGGCTGCATGAAGATTACATAGATAACTTCGAGACTTATATATCCTAGCTAAATACAATCATCACTGAGATATTCTCGTTAGATCCTTAGATAATGATCACTAATCAAAACGTAAGGTCACAGCTGATTAAGCTCTTCTACATCTTAAAGGGCATTGTCAATGCTCTCTCCTCAAGCAGACATTTCGGACTATTCTTTGACTGGTTTTACCCTGAAAACTTCACTATTATAGGCAAAGCTCTAAGTGCCTTCATCAATGATGATGAAGTTGTCTTAGTCATCTTTAAGTTCCTCGCAGAAATCGTAAACAATAGGTGCAGTAGACTAAGATTTGACACTTGGAATATTAATGGACTAATAGTATTCAAAGAAGCTGCTAAAATCACCATTCAATATTTATAACTTTGTGATAATCTGAATCAAAAGATCGTTAAAAGAGATGCCTACAAGGAGAAGTACAAATTCCTTATGTCAATTATGAACATTTATGTTAATTGCATCACTGGCCATTATATCAGCTTCGCTATCTGTGAGTTTTACAATGATGATACTTTTTCGTAGCTCTCCATATGTGTAATGAAATGCCTGACTTCGATAAATATCAAAGATATAAAGGCCTATGACCAAATATACAAAAAGGTCTTTTCGTTATTGGAGAGCTTCTTTAGAAATCATTTAGAGCTAATGTTCGCTAAATTTGACTTTTAACTTATTGAAAATATCCTTTAGATTGTAAATAACGGACTGGCTGAAGATTATATCTTTTGAAAACAATACAATTTCAATTTATCACCTTAACTATTTACCTTTCGATATTAATTAGTCAGTGACAGTGTGCTTGGACTACTTTAATGAATACGTCTATAACAATTTGAAGAAACCTAGCAAGAAATCGCCTTAGTTGGCAGCTAATATCTAGAACTTCTATCAAACTCAAAATTGGGTGTTTTAGGTAATTATTAGGATAATTTAAAAGCTTTTAGACCTTTATGAAGAGCTTAGCGTTTACTTTACTATTTGAAGAGCATAAAAACATTTGGGTTTATTAGAAATGCTTCCACTCTACAATCATAATGTGCGAAGCTACTGCCAAGCCGATTATATTTGAGACTATCATGAACGAAGAGAAGAGCGAGGACAGAAAACAAAAGCTTGGCCAAGAAGTCGAAATACTATTCACTGGAATGAGCCCAGGATTGGATTCCAGAGCCAGAGAAAGCTTTAATCCTAAGTTCACAGCTCTTAAGACCTTCCTTGTGGAATATGTTTTGTGAATAATGACTTAATGTCCTACAATCTTAGCAAGCGAGGCTATGTTGTGAATTAAACTAGCAATTAATGATATTTTAAGAAATAAGTTAAACTTAAATGCCTCTGTCCATTACTTCCTGCTTCTTATTTGTGCTCCTAATATTATTCTGGATGAAAATAGAGTCATTAAATTTAACTATTGTTAAGTATAATCATTAAACAGATACAATTCCTAGCTCATCCTCATACAGTAATTTCTTGCTGAGAAGTCCGTCCCTTTGCTCTTCAATGTATTGGCCAAGGGGCTTTTTCAAATCTTCTTCAACCGAATTTCCCTCTGGGTTATACACTAAGAGATTATCGTTCCCGCTCTCAACTCTCACACATAGGAGTTGTCCATCTATATCTTTCGCGATTGGGAATAATCTCTATGACTACAAATTATATGATAATACTTCGCCGTTAATATCATCTAAAGTCAAGGTCTTATAGGTATCTAAGAGTTAGAATCCACCTCTGAATCTAAGTAATAAGGCTTTTAGAGCTGAACATCCATCTGCACCATGCTTCTTCATAATTGAGTCAACCTCTGGTTCTTGATTGCCTTTGTTGTCCTCAAGTTATGTAGTATAGTAAGATGAAGCATTATATTTAAACCATTGGTTGATGTCATTGAGGGCTTGCTTGATGTCATCTACTGAGATTTCCTGTCTTTTGTTGCCGCCTTCGTCAACTGTGAACTTTTTAGTAGGAGTTGATTCCATGATTAGTGATTAATTTTAAAACTTAAATTTATAAAGATTCAATTCACTGTTTTAATCTTTAATTGTTATCGATTTAATTCATTAAGGAAACAAATTACTAATTCTTCACTTTGTCGTTGCAGTTCAGATATTGTTTCCTTGATCTGCCATAAGAGGCCCTCTTTGATAGTGTCCTGGGGGTGAGAAGCCTGGGCCGTACCAGGGTGACTTGTATTTGTAGCAAATGAGCATCATCTCAGTTAAGAAGTAGATCAAAGCTAGGCAAGTTAGAACAGCGATTCTTCTGTGGGAATTCTTCTTCAAGATATCTTCAACTTTTGATAGGAAAATAAGAGTGAACCCAGTAAGGCAAACCAAAACAGAGAAGATATAACCCTCACCAGCCCATTGGCCTCTTTGACCTTTCATGAAATATTCAGCGATGACGACATTGCCAAATTGATCTCTCTCCATCTTGAACCAGGGAACGTTGTGAATGATACTATAAACTATACCACCAGTGCAAATGAAATAGGTAAGCATGGCAATGATAAACCAGACAACTGGCTCGAGCATGATCACTCTCAAGTATTTCAATATTGTCAAAACTGCACCGAAGATGAGGAAGAATGTCACGTTCTTCAAAAGAACAGTACTGAGTGGGAATGTGAGTGGGATATTGAGAGAGAGTCTCTTGTTGAAAAACTCAAGAATCTTGTTGGAGTCATAGATCTCATCAGCTCTAACGTTCCACTTATCTTCCTCCTTGTAGAACTCTTCACCATCCTGTCTTTTAGGTTTTTGTAGGGAAATAGTCAAGTGAGGTACTGTTTTGAATGCATGTTGAAGGAAGAACTGTTGAGTGTCCTTGCTGTGGTAAAGAGCTCCGAAGAAAACAGGTCTTTGTTGTAAGTTCTTATTCTTTTGGAATGAATATACTACAGTCTCATACTCTCCAAAAACCTCACTAAGATAAATTACTCTAGAAAATTATTATCTTACTCGCAAAGATCGCAATGAGCACTAACAGTGTATAGAACAACAACATCATAAGGTCTGGGATTTTAGAGTACTAGCTCACTAATCAAGTAATTTGAATAAACAGATAAAGCATAAAATAAGTAATGTGTTTATTAATTTATGAATGCAATAACTTACTCATAGTTTTTGGCATTGAAAACAATGATTCCAGTTCCAGAAGCATACTCAAGAGCCTCCATCTTCTTAAGTTTTTATTGTCCTGGGTCATTTGTCTGGCAAGTTGCCAATGATACCTAAAATTATGTGAGACTTTGCCAAAAGATATATCATACGCATAATAAAGAGAGTATTAATGCAGATTTCATTTTTATTAATAATTATATAAGTCTAAATATAATCTCAATCATGCTATTTTTCTTAATCACTATTATTTACATATTTTAGTTGAAGGGGTTTTGGGGTTTTGGGGTTTTGGGG